TGTGCGGCCCTAGGAAACGGCCTAGGAAACCGCTGCCGAGCCGCACGTCCACAGCGAGTCCACAGAGCAGCGACACCGGCACAGAGCGCTGCCCAGCAGCAAGGCAGCCTGCGGAACCGCGGGCCGGGTTAGCAGCGCAGGCTGGAGCACCAGCTCCACCGCCCGGCCAAAACCCGCATTCCCGCAAAAAAATACAAACTTCCACAAATGCTAATGAAAACGGGCCTGAGAACTAATCAGGCATGCGAATTCCCTCTCTGTTCAATTCAATTATGCCCCTCTTCCTAAATCATCTTTTTTTTATTTAACAAAACTCTAAACTGCCACAGCTAATAAGCTCAGACGAATCAGTGTAAAACATTCATTTCTGGGAACAGGCCGATATTTTCTAAGACCCATTAATAACTATGACAGGATTTATGTACAAGATAAATTCAATTCAATTTCCTTTTTCAATTAATGGCCAATTATTCGAACTCAGCTCAACCAAAAATATTACTCAAATATCATTAATCTAGCAAAAATTAACTTTACTATTCCGTAAGTAATGAGGGCATCATTTTAAAGGTAACATAAGGCACTTTATTTAATAAAATGTTGTCTTTGTTTTCGGGGCCACCCCTTGCCACTGGAGCCCCCCAGGTGCACGTTCCTGGCAAGGCCAGCGCCCAATCTGAGCCCCATGGGATCCAGCCAGGAGCAGCCCCACGCGCCGCCCGCTCTAGGAGCCCCTTCCCGTGCGGAGGCTGCCAGCACGGAACCCGCAGGCAATAAAGCAACCAGGATTCCCACGGCCCTCGCGCCTCCCTTAGCCACAGGTGCCGGGACGCAGCTGCCCGCCCGGGCGGCCGCTCTGTCACTGCCGCCCTCCCGCTCCCAGCCCCACGCGGCTCCAGTGCCGCCGCCGCAGCCGCCACGGGGTCCTGGGGACCCGTGTGTGCCCGAGGGCCGGGACCCCGCATTCCCGGCTAGGAATCCATTCCCAGGGCTGGGACCCCCCGCACTCGTCCCTGCAGAGGCGGCCTCGAGCAGAGCCACTCACGCGGGGCGGCCACGGCTCCTCCAGCCCTCCAAGCGTTCCAAGCAGTCCCGCTGCTGCGGCTGGAGCAGGACACTGCCGTTCATAACCTGCCCTTGCCCATTTCCTGGTGCTTATTCAAGGGAGTTTCATTTCAGTAACTGTCCTAATAAAACACAAACTCTGCGAAAAGGAGAGCCCGTGGGTTGGGAGCTTTATGATTCCCACTTGCTCACAAGAGTCACACTGAACTGCTGCTCCTTTCAGAGGAGCTGTTGCTGCTCTGCCACTGCTTTCTCGTGTCGGAAACCACAGGTTCCCAAAACACCTTCACTTTCTAATTTGAAAGAAAATATGCTACGTAATGAACAAATTAAAATGGAATTCAACTTTGCTAGGAAGAACTAGCCCGAAGTATAGCCCAACAGTATTTTTTTCATTTCAAGGTTTGCTTTTTTTTTCTTTTTCCTCTTTTTTTAGGGGTTGTGGGGATGGAGGAGAGGTTGAGAAGCTATTGGATAAGTGAGGTTTATTTCAACAAATCTGTTCTGAGAAGCAAGGCTCCTCCCTCACCGCGCAGTAACCAGTTCCACAGAGAGCAGATACCCGGAGCACCCGGAGCAGCTCCGAGCCCGCGGGGGGCCCAGCCACGCTCTGCTGGAGCTGCACAGAGGCCCTCGCAGAGCGCTGGAGCTCGGGTCCTCAGAGGAGGTGCATTTGAACCTCTGCAGGGAGTCCTTCATTTCCCTGAACGAGGGAAAAGCAAGGCACGTGCTGGCGGCACGAAGCCTTAATGGAATACCGTACAAAGCAACAGATACAGCGCACTGAGCAAAACCAGCCCTCTGCCAATTACAGTAATAAGTTTGCCACTGATTAAATTCAGATGTTTTAACATCAAAATAGTTAAGCATTTGTTGAGAGCACGCTGAAATCAAGACATGATGTGCATCCTAGAAGAGGGACAGTGATGGCTCTGCAGCTCCCCCATGGACACTCTTATTCCAAAGCACAAGCATCTTAATCAGAGTTAATTTAACCCATACAAGGGGCATCTACAGCTGAATAGTTCATCAAACCTCACTATTTTTGAGTACCTCCATGCAGAGAGATTTCTATGCATCAAGACTTATATTTTATTTCATGTAAGAGTTAAATAGAGTACAGTAAAACTACCAGAGCAGCTGTTAAAAGCAATACAAAAGTAATGACTCGCTTTACTAATAGCGAGGCCTATGAGCAACTCTTACAAATAAACACAGCGATCACACTGAATTTCCTATCTTCCCAGCCCTGGAGTTTTGGTCGCCAACACTCCCTGCGGAGCCCTCCCTGCAGGGCTCAGCCCCAGGGCCGTGCACAAAGCTTCATTGCCAGGTCCGGCCTGGCCTTGGACCTAGACCTGGAGGTGCCGCTGTGCTGGAGGGGTCTGGGGCTGCAGGAGGCCCAGCCTGCAGGCAGCCCCTGCTCCGTCCCCAGGGCTCTTCTGTCCGCTGTTCAACACAGTCCTAGCTGGACAAGATCCACCACGCGCCTCAATCCCCTTGGAGCAGAATACTTGCTGGGAACAGGGCTAGAGCTGTGAGTGTCGGCATGGCGTGACACGGCCCGCTGCTCTCCTGGGTGCATGTAAACCTCTGGGCAAATGACAAAATGCCTGGTACCAAACCGCTCGTGCCGGCCACGAGCTGTCCTGCTCCTCACACAGAGTTCCTGCAGCCTCCGCAGCCAGACCGCTCCACGAGGGACACTGCGCCAAGGCACCTCTATTTGACAGCGGCCGTGTAACACGCACGCCCGTCGTGCTGCCCGGGAAGCTGCACCGTGACGGACACATTATGGACAGCGTTCCCTTGGAGCTGGTCGCCAGCCCTGGTGCGAGGGAGCAGAACAGCGCGCGGGCCCCGCGCATGAAATGCTGTGGAGCCGCCAGGAAAGGGGACGTGAGGAGCAGGAAAGGGCTCCCAGCGGCTGCTGCTCGGCCCTGTACGTGGCTGCAGAAAACAGCACTTTACAACAACGTACGTGATAAATTTCTGTATTTCAAGTATAGAGAAGTAATAACGTAATAATTCTAGAGATAGCATCTGCTGCCAAATCCATGCCTTACAAGGGATGGAAAAAAAACACAGAAGTTGAAGAACTTTACAGTGAAAGAGAATTAATGAGGAAACGGGGAGACGCAAAACACTGCACGAGTACTTGTGGGCCCTGCTGAAGATAGGAATAAAACTTTACCCTAAATGGGCACAACATGGTGGTGAAATCCCCGTTCGGACAGCGACTCACTGCTAAAACAGAGGTGTCTGCAGGCTGCACAGCGGAGCTGAGTGGTGCCAGCGCTCATCGCATCGGGAATGAGGCTTGGATTCAAGGCAGCAGTCCTGGGAGCTACATATGAGACCATGAGCTTTACGTGCCCTCAAGCAGATCAAGGCGAAAGCCTGGGCAGCTCAACACGAAGGTGCCTCGCATCCACCCTCTTTGGGGGATTTTCTGGCTCTGACTCCAAGCCACTCTGCTATAAAGCAAACAAACGAGAGGAATACATAAAATATTCCTCCGGTACAAAGGATGTTCCCAATGATGGCATTATAAAGCATGATTAAGCAACACGCCACTATCCTCTGCCATTTTTCCCACCAAACTGATTCAGCTCCCAAAGATTTTCAGGACTAGGGGGAGAGACGCACACACCCAGGCCGACGTTTCTGTCTTTGCTCGGCTGCATCATTGCTCCTGAAGCCCCCATGCAGCGGCTGCTGCGTCGGGCACCGCGCATCAGCGCCGCTCCCGGGGGCTGCTGGGGCCAGGCTCTGGAAGCGGGGCCAGGGACTTGTCCCTGCTCCGCGCCGCCTGGCCGCAGCGCTCGGGAAGGGGGGAGCCCTGCAGCCAGGACATGGGGAACAGCAGCTCCTCAGAGAGCTCCTGACGCACACGTGAGGCTTCAAAGCACGGATACTGCCCGGCTGCCTGGCTAGCACGGGGGAAGCAGTTAGTAACGCCATGAAATACAAACGTACTTCTATCCATTTCCAAATGCACAGCCACAAAACTTGCTGAGTATTTGTATTTGCACTGTATTTTAGCCTTTGCTGCACGCTAAACTGCTGCACCATCCGCTGCCGCCCTGGTTCTCTCTCTGTGCTGAGGTTTCCTTCCATCCAACTAAAGGAAGAGCTTGGTGCTGTTGCGGAGCACGGGCTCTCCAGGGCGCGGAGCGGCCGCGCTGCGGCCCGTGCCCCGTGCTCTGCACCCCGCGGCTGCTCGGTCAGCGTGGCCGGCCCCAGGCAAGGGGCAGGGACAGGACGCTGCCCATTGCACAGCAGCAGAGCCCGGGGAAGGGGTGGCCGCTGCACAGCGCGCATGCGAGGCACCAGCAAGCGCCACTGCAGGATCTCTCCTTCCTTCCAGTGCCACCGAGCAGCAGTGACCAGAACAGGACAGGAGATGCCCTTCAAATAGCATGGTGCAGCCTGGCACAGTACAACCACTGGCTCGATGGTGACTCCTGCTCTGCTTGCACATGTACCGAAATAGCACTCATGCACTGGTCCACTGGCTTGTCTCACAAGCCCCCAGCAAGCAATGCTGCAAAGCAGTTATGTAAAACTGCAGTGCCAATCTCTGCTCATGGTCAGTTGAGCTCAGAACTGGATCCAGCTCAGAGCACCAGGCAGGAATGCATTTTCTCAAATGAGCAGCAATGCTGATCCACCCAGAAGGTGAACAGCCACAGTAAATAACTTATAGACAAACACCTGCAACAATAAGATTTTTTTTGTGAATTCTCACATTCCACTCATTTTTAAATGACATACTTCTGAAATTGGCATTTTTGTATTGTTCTAAGTAAATATTCTTAGTAGAGAAGCAATCCTCATCATGATGGAGAGAGCACACACCAGGCAGGAAAACAGACGACTGAACGGAAAAAAAATCCCAATACGTCAAATTAATGTGACGCAGCAAAGAAATTTACCGTAAAATGTTCCTGTGATTTATAATTCTCATCCAGGTACACTCGAGCTCTGTTGTAGTCTTTCATTGCATCACTTGACAACAGTTCTCTGCAAGACAAGAGAGATTGAAGATATAAATGGATATGCAAGGTTCTCCGTGGCTTTATCATAATTCCCTGGGCTGAGGCAGCCTTGAGCGCAGCGCAGAGTAAGGCGCAGCCTCGGCGCCGCTGCCCCAGCTCCCGCCTGCCCTCCCGCGGTGCCTGCGAGCAGCGGCGCAGCCTCCCACGTGCCGGGCTGCGCTGCGAGCTCTGCAGCCGCGAGCAGCAGCTTCACGCACCCATCGCCACCCTCCCAAGGGCCACGCGGAGCAAGCTGGGCAGGAATCGTGTCCCTGAGGAGCCCACGCTGCGTGCAACCGTGTGAATCCTTGCGAAAGGCCCTCTGCTCTGCACCAGAGCTTGGCTTTGGGGGCATCCCCACCGCCCGTTCCACCAGCCCTGCTCCTTGTGAGGCAGGTGGCCCATGAGGGACGTGGCTGCAGGCAGCAGCTGAGCCTACAAACCCCAGCGCAGCTGCACCCCGGCGCTGCAGGGGCAGCAGAGAGGCCCTGCAGAGGCACTACTCCCTCAGGGCCGGCACGGAGCAGCGCGGGCGCCACTCGGCTCTGCAGCACCCAGCCCCGCCGGCCCGTGAGCGCTCGCGGCCCCACGGTGCGGCAGAGGGCAGTGTGGCCGCGCGCCCGCCGCAGCCCGCAGCTCCTCGCACCGAGCCAGGCGCTCACGAGGGCACGCCGCACAATTCCATCACCGTGCTTCAGACACCCACGCTGGCAATCCCAAATTTACCACAGACCACCAAAGAGCACTCTTTGCTCTTACCAAAGAGCACTCTGCTTGCAGGCTACTTTTCCCTGGATACAATTAACAGATGGGGATCATGCAGGTCAGACGTTCCCCGGGAGATGGGAGATGCTCCTGTTTGTCACCTGCACGGGGACTCTGCTGCACCAGATACTGAAAAGTGTGAATTGTGACAAATAGAGCTATTTAAACGGCTTGGGAATGAGGAGACCTCATCACATCAGCTGGGAGACATCTGAGGTGCTCTCAAAGGGAAATATATGTTCTGTAGCTTGCAGAATTAACAGACTTTCACATGCAGAGGAGACTTTCATAGCAACTTATGCAGATATCTTAAATAATACAAAGCACAAACATGTGCCCCATGACATCCTCTTGCAAGGCGAATACAGTGGTGAAGTTGAAGAAAACTTCACGTCCTATTTACTTCTCAGGCCTAGCGCCTCCTGCCAGGACTGTGAGCAGCACTACAGAGCTTGCACATTCACCACAGCTCCAGGTTACTTACTTAACAAACTTGTCCACGTGAGACATGGAAGCTTCGTAGTTTTTTCCTCCAAACTCCTGACAGTGCAAAGCCATGAAGTGGGGCTTGTGCGTATGTACAACCTGCAACAGAGACAGACGCACGTTAGCAACACGCTGCGGGCGCTGCCATCTCTGAACCCGCAAAGTGGCAGCCATGAGGGCGTCATCAGGATCATCCCCTGTCAGGGCACGCCAGAGACTCGTGGTGCACGGTAACTATCTCAAATGTTCCTAGCTAGCGTTTCCTTTGCCAAGGGCTGATAGGGTCCCTAGGCATTTAAAGCAAATGCCTTGGCTCTGCCAGCACGTTCTGAAGAGCATTTCAATCAGATGGGGAACCAAAATGTCCTTTTAGAGTTGAAAAAATTGAAAAACCCAAATTTCATTTCCCTTCACTTTTGTAAAACGCCTCCATTTACCTCATGACAGAATGTCAATTAGCAATCACATTTGATGTTTTTATTTACAGAGTTTTTATTTATATATATATATAAATATATAAATATATATATATTATAAATATATATTTATATAAATATATATATATATATTTATACACCCACACACACACAACATGCCATAGCATATTTACACACATCTAACAGAAAATACATGCAGGAGCCACAAATCCAAACTATTACACCGCACCAAACTAGCATTTAAAATATGCATCCAGATCTACGATGCAATAAATGAAAGGTGCACGGATCTGAGCATGTAGTTCCTTTGCGATGCAAACACTCCAAGGTGAGATAAAACCAATCCCAAATGTTCTCCTCACACAGTTGCATCTATACGAAGAACTCCCCAAGATCCTGCAGCTTCAGGAAAAGACCGTGCTGTCTGACCAGCACTGAGCTGTGAGCAGACAAGCCCACAGCCGCCTGTGGCAAACAGAGCAGCCTCCAGCAGGGCAGGCTTTGCTGAGGGACTTGGCCTTCGTACATCTCGCCCTGCACCGCACAGGACGCGTCTCAGAGTGGTTCTGAATAAACCCCTTCCTTGCTGCAACTACCACCATCCTGCAGAAAGAAGTTCTGATTTCAGAAGACTCTGCTACAGAGTTTTCTTGCCTAGACGTGGTTTGTTCTCGCTCCACGCACAGACCAGAGCGCACGGTGCCGCGGGAGGCCGGGCGCCGACGCGCTGCGCGCAAGGTGCAACCTGAAGGCGCTGCGACCGCGCGGCTGGGCCGGGGAACCGTGCAGTAACGAGCGGCTGCGCAGAGCCCGACGGGCTCATGCTGCTTGGCATTTTGAAGATAAACATTAACCAAATAGAGCCTGTAAAGGCAAACCTCCCACAAGGCTTCACTGGGGATCTCCAGACAACACACGCTCCTGGCCGCACGTGCTTTGTGGCTCCAGATGGGCTTTGGCTTGCAAGCACTGATCTTATCTGTCTGGAGAGCTCCATGAAATTACCATAATTAGAAAACAACTGCAACTATTTAATCCTGTAAAGCAAACATAGCCAAGCTGTGCTGTTCCAAAAGGAACATGTCTAGCAGCTGCCTCGTGCAAAGAAGGTGAAAATTTACTGCTGTGTTGTGCTAGATGCTGTGCTACAACCCTTCGCATCAATAAAACCTCTTCTTACACTGCTGATAAAGTCAATAAATTGATAGGATAAAGGCCAAATAAACTGCTCCAAATGAGGTTTAATTAATAAGGAGCCTCGACAGCGGGATCTTCCATATAGAGGAACATTGCAGGAATTGCTGCTGCTGTAATGCAGCAAAGTGGAAAACACGCAGCCTGGCAGTAATCAGCCTGTAAGCTCAGATATGGGGCACTTAGTTCATATTCAAATCCTTGAAGGCATAAAGTCATGACAGATTTGAAAGAGGAAAAAAAATATATATATATATATATTATATATGTTTCCTTTTTAATAAGGAAACAGCAGAGGCTTAAGAGTCCTGGGATATCCTAGTTGAATTCTTTGTAGGTTAAACCACAAAATACACCTGAATATTGGCTACATCCTCATATAATAAATACCCTTTAACCAAGAGCAAACTGGCTCTGCTTCATTACCTTTTATTACTTTTCTGCTGTAATGGAAGAACAAACAGTACATAAGAATGAATAATGAATGCTTCAGAGTTGAAAATTCATAGCTGCCAGAGGTTAAAGACTATATACCAGACCACATAAACACTGCATTTGCATACACAGGAGCACTGAGTTTTAAAGAGATGGGCACTAGTTTGAATTTCCAGATATGCACAGGAAGTCGCTTAATTTTCGCAGGATTTGAACAAGATGCTCTGTCACTGTTAAGTACAAATATAAATCTGGTGAAAAATACTGTGAGCTCCTTTTTTTGTTTCTAATGAAGTAATAAAATCCGACTTCCAGCTTTTATTAAATGATAGCAGAGAGTCTAAAGATAACCATAAATAACTAGGAAGGCACGCTGAAATTCCCTGTTCGTGGGCCAGGCTCTTCTTCAATCAACATGAAACATCTGACCTTACACCTCAGCCGGCATGCAGCAATGTTATTAAAACTGAAGGATGCAGGAGCGTTAATGCCCGTTGAGAACAAGTCTGCCTGTGCAACTGCAGCCGAGCCCCACATCCTCCTTGCGTCATCCGCAGCTTTTCCACGGAGGGAGCGGGTCTGACGTGCAGCAGTACGTCGAGGAGCGGCGCAGGGCAGCGAGGCCTGCGACCGAGGCGGGGCGGCGGGACGGCCGCAGCGCCGCGCGGCACGGGGAGTGCCCAGCGGCCGCCACACGTCCCCACCGCCCCGCACGCCGTTATCTGCTCGAGCTGCCAAGGGCCACAGCCCCCGCACGCCGCGGGAGCGCATCCTGCAGGGCCCGCGGGGCCTGCTCGGCCCGTCACCTACACTGCGTAGTGCGCCGCCCACCCCGCACAGGGCCTCAGCGCCCACCTGAGCGCCGGCGTCACGGCACCACCGCGCACAGCGCGATGTAAAACCTCATCATGGAGCAACTGCAAGTTAAATGTCATTTCATAACATGCACTTAGTTAAGAACACGGATAGAAATTGATACTAACTAGCATGGCTGTACAGCAACAGGGGTCACTCATCACTGGTAGTTTGAATTCTTTGCCTCCCACGCTACTTCAGGGTCCTTGTAAAGCAACTCCCACCCCCGGGCGCCTGCTGCAGCCGCCCCTGCTGCCCCCTCCCAGCCGCCTCCTCCAGCTCGGCAGCTCCTGCACCGGCACCACGTGCCTGCGTCCGTGTCCCAAAGGGCACCTAGGGAAGGGAAGCATTGGGAGGAGCTACCCTGCTGGGAGCCCACGCTCCAAAACACGGAATTCCCGGATAATCTCTCCTAATCTTTCCTGTCCTTCTGGTCCCTATTCCCAGACTAGACACCATCTGAAGCTATGACTCAACAAACCAAGTGACTCAGCCCAAACCTGCTCTTTAAAGTCACAGACTTGAAGTGGAAGAAGGGTGGAAAAAGTAAAACAAATAAACAAACCAGCCAATCAATGCTGCTTTTCCCAAGCTGCCCCTCTGCAGCCTGCTTGCTCGCACCCACGGGCAGCCCCAGCATGAAGCACTCAAGCGGGACAGGACAGGATGGAACGGGATGGGATGGGACTGGACACATGCTGGATGGGCCATGCTGGGCGGTGCATCCACCTCTGCACAGGATGCAGCAGCAGCAGCACATGGCAGCAGCAGCAGCAGGCCATGTGCAGCAGCAGCAGCACATGGCCTGGAGTGGGGCCAGACAGCATGGCCTGGATGGGGGATCCATGGAGCAGCCGGGGCCCAAACGCTCCGAGCATGGCCTGGACGGGGGATCCATGGAGCAGCCGTGGCCCAAGCACTCCCAGCACGGGCTGGACCAGGGATCCACAGTACAGCTGGGGACCCAGCCATGTGGCTGGCACAGACACGAGCGCCTGGGTTTGGCTTTGGTTAAACATTTTCCCTATGGGGGAAAACATCCCACCCAGAGAAGTAGCGAGAGAGCCCAGGGCCATGGGCGCTGCTGCCCAGCGATTCGGGGATCGCCCCTGGGACTGAGCAAACACCACTAAGTCCAGTGCTGTGATGAAAAACCTGCTTCCTGGCAGGCTGTGCCTGCCTCTCCCTGCTGGGAAGGTTCCTGCACACACGCCGACAAGCGCGACACAGGGCCTCGTGTAGCTGAGCTCGCACGGAGCAAGGCCCTGCTACCCGCCCCGGGCAGACACAGCTTCCCACCCTCCTCCCCACATTCCCTGCTCCTCTCCTGTGAATGGGCATCCATCTGGATACTGCACACTGGGCGCTTGTCATCCAACCCAGGCGTCCCATGCAGGTGCCGGACAACGAGACTGATCTGGCAGAGACACCCCATCCCCTCAGCCGCCTCAAAAGGACTCAATCATTTCCTCACATTATTCACAAGCCCTATTTGTACCAGCTACATCTCTGTCTCTAAATTAAAAGCTATAAGGTCATTAAGGTAAAACTTCACCAATATGTGCACTGATAGCCTAATTTTGTTGAAAATTAGATTTCTAATTATATTAGAAGCCCGTGATGGCAGTCTACCTCAGAGAAAGCTGTGCTTCCTTTAGTAACACCAATTCCATCCTCAACAATTTAAAGCTGTTCTGTATCATTCTTCTCTTATGGCAAGATTCACAGCAAAGCAGTGACTGGCTTCTGTGCCTGCCCGTCGCAGAGCAGCCCGTCATGCGGCTCAGGCGCGGGAGGCCATGTCCTCCCCGAGCACCAGTGCGCTCCTTCCTCAGCCAGGGCCCCGCAGCAGGCAGCTGCGGCTGGCGGCGCTTCGCTCGCAGCAGCGGGGCCGGCCCGGAAGAAACCTCCCTGCTCACTGGTGTGTGAGACCTGCCTGCTTGTGGGTGCGTGGGGCTGGCTCCGCTACGGAGACCTCCCCACCCGCTCAAACGTGGGGCCGGCTCTGCCTGCGGCACCAGGGCAGTGCAGCCTCGCTCCGCCACGGCCTGCGCCGTTCCACCTCGCCTCCCTCGTCTCGCAGCAAGAAGCGGAGCTTGGGTGACCCAGGAGGACGTGGTCCACAGCCCAGGAGCCTGACTGCAGCTGAGCTGGTTTTGCTGCCCGAGGGCCACACTGGAGCAAGGTGCAGGGCAACGGTGCTGCCCCAGCTTTGAGGGGTCCATGGCAGCAGCCCACGCACAGGCAGAAGGGGATCCCTAGTGCCCATGGCTTGGTTTAAATAAAAATTTAAATAAGCAGTTTTTAAATAAGCATAGCAGAGAGAGGCTGCAATAACGAATGAAGGAGTAATTCAGTCTATTCTGGAAGTCCTACAAATTTAGGAGAAGGAAAAAATAAACCAAAACAGACAAAAATCCCAGAAACCCACAAATCAGAGCTCTGTCCTCTGAACAGTAAGCAAACTCAAGCACCCATAACCACAGCTCTATCACTCCCAACTCCAGGCTTCACACGGAAATGTAAAGGGCATTGCAGCCAGCTCCTGGGCTGTCAGTCTGCTCACTTGTGCTCTTCACTCCTCTTAACTGAAAAATAGAGCACAGTTTGTGTCTGCTGCTGGTGCTGCAGAAGTAAAATAGCCACAGAAATCCCCGTGTGTTTTTTGTCAGTCTCACTGAAGTATTTTCCCATTCCTCACCAGAAAGGGGTGGTGGTGCTTAACGTAACGGAGACCCTGGCGCTTTCAAGGCTAGACCGGTTGCTTTGCAGCCTTACACCAAACCACCTAGGAACCACCAGATTCCAGGCTAATAATGCTCTGGCACGCTCCCCACAAGAGCAGCACTTTGAGGTGCTGCTCCTCAAAAGCACCACTGGCCAGCGGCACATCTCCTCCACTGCCAGCTCCAGCTCTCTATGATGTAACACCTGAAAGCATCCAGAATTCAGGTAAACTGAACCACTCCTTCATTTTATTCTGTATTTCCTCAGCAGAAAATAAAAGTCTTTGTAATAGGAAACTGGTAGAAAGTTACCTGGTGCTTGACTCGTGTATCAATTTTAAAGATAAAAATCACCCGCAACCCAAAATGCAGGCTTCAATTTTGCAAGACTTGAAATGGATCAATTCAAGGAAAACGGAACAAAATGGTTGTTTTGTCTGATCTATCAACTCTATTAACATCAGCAACACAGCAGTATTGCAGCAGAGGGCTGCTAGAATTGCCATTAAAAAAAAATCAACTGAAAGTTTGAAACTTTTTCTTTTAGCATTTCTCAGACAAAACATGTAATTTTATAACATTACTAAATAGTTCACACTTTTCATGTTAGTAAAATATTTGCAGAATAAAGGCAGAATATATATATATATATATGTGTGTGTGTGTATATATATATATGTATATAATGTAATAGGAAAAGTGTGGCCAGCGGGCCAAGGAAGGGGGATCCCCCCTCTACTCAGCTCTGGGCAGGCCACACTGGAATAAACAGGATGGGGCCAAGCTCCTTTTGGTGGTGGCCAGTGACAGGACAAGGGGCAATGGGGACAAGTTGACAAGCTCTGGGTGTCCCTGTTGGAGCAGGGGGTTGAACTGGATGATCCCTAGGGATCCCTTCCAATCTCAACCCTTCTCTAATAGTAAAATGCTCTTTTAGTTCTCCAGATGCTGTTTGGGAAGCAAATATTGCAAATAATCTCTGATAACAGACATAAATTGAATATTTTGTATTCATCAACCAATTAAAATATTTTGTATTCATCAACCAATTAAAATCTATTACTTCAGTTTGTTCTAACACTTTGTGGCTTGTTTTTAAGTTCCTATATTAAAATATTATTTGACATAAATGCAACGATAAAGACAAACCAACTAACGTACATCAGTATTTATGGAAAACAGTACTAATATTTCCATTTGGGGGTTTAATTTCTAGAAATACGTTAAGCTTAGGCTGATAACAGCTCTTCCTTTTTTCGTGAAGATTATTTTCTCTGCTTACAAACGGACTCATCTGACAGAAGTTACGCAAACTGTACTGACACAACTCTACATGCAAATTGAATTCCTCAGAAGAATGGAAAAAAATGTGGTTTGCGGTTTATTTGGGTTTCATGTTTACAAAGAAGTGTTAGAAGCCTCATTACAAGTTATTTTCCAGTGCTTCTCATGAGTTTAAACTTGCAGTATTTCAACCCAGCAGGCTGAATCCAAATGCAAAAGTTAAGCTGCACATTTGCAAGGTGGCTGCCATCTGGTGCCAGGTCAAGCTGTCCCCAGTGCGGCACAGGCCTATTAGCTGCCCCCTAAAGACCTGTGAAATCTGCAGTCAGTAATCAAAAAGAATTAAAAAAAAAAATAAAAATAAATAAAAAGAAGGACTATGCCTATTTAAATGCAGTTGCATTTTCATCAAAGGAGGAGTCATTACCAAAAAATCTGGATAGGCTGTTAATCAGAATTAGCTAAAAGCCTGCACATCGGGAATATCACCTACATATAGCAGTAAGCAGCCCAGATGAAAGATGAAAATAAACAAAGAAATTCATCTTTGTGATGCTGACAAATGACTTGCATTGCCAGCAGATGCCTTGCAATAAGGCTGGGAACTCCACTGCAGATTTTTGCAAATAAACTTGCCAGAAGCTGACAGGACTATCTTACAGTTTTGCAATAAAGGTTGCATATCTCACTAGTAACTTGTACATCCAAATAACTAGAAGCCCCTTCCAAATAAAAAGGCAAAGATAAAATATAGATAATCACAATATGATACAGCGCCTATTAAAACTGATCCATATCCTTAAAACATTTTTAGATGAGAGATTTAACAATTCTTATGGAATTTCAAAATCTATCAATCCTGGGGATGGGCTGCATGCAAAGCACTACTAACACCATGTATAAGGGCTCTATGCTGCACTGCTGCTCTGCTGCTCACGTTTTATTGCTTTTCTGTGAACTGCTCGATGACAACGTATTTGTATGTTTCTCTATGGGTGCAGAAAGTTAAACACATCTGTACTGCAACACTATGTGTTGAGTCAATTTTATGCTATAAATAAATAAATAATTCAAAGTTTGCAAAACATTTGATAATAGGGGTTCTGTGTCTATATTTTCTTATTGCTTCAATAATGAGAAAATTTGGAGCAGGGTTGGAAGTTGGACTGATCCATTGCAAGCTGACATCAAAATGTTAGGTTTTACTGGTATCACGAATGTAAACCAGACATTGTAACAGTTTTTTTTTTAATTACTTAAATACATCTCTCTCTTGAAGGAGACCTAAAACTCTACTTCATTCCAAACTCATATCATTTTTATAAAGCGTCAAAACGTCTCCTGACAGATGATTGAAAATGAGGAAATACAATATTTATACACTGGACTTTTATACATGGGCTTTAATCTTCAGATAAAACCCCAGAGATGCATATTTTTTCAGCTTGGCTTTGACTATGAAACAGTTTATGGCTCCAACATGACAAAACAGAAGAGCTTTATATACAAATGCTGTACTAACTAAGCCACGGAACTTCATTTAAAAAAAAAAAAAAAAAAAGTTTTACCTTACCTGATAAAATTCCCGAAGCCAATTCTTCTGTAAATTTTCTGGCTGAAAAATAAAAGAAAAAAAAATAAGAATACAATATTTTTCTTATAGCATTTTGACACCTTTTTTATACTCAAATATATTTAAAGAGAAAAGGTGACTGCTCCTCCCGAGCGCTTGTGCCAGGCCTCTCCTTCCCAGTCCCCCTCTTCTCACTGTTTCCCCACCCAGGGAAGCACATTTTGTATTTGACTCCACCACGCTTCTACACTTACAATCACATCTAACCGATCAGCAGACTAAGTATGTGCCCTGGGGGCTTTTTACAAGTACATGTTCACTACCCAGATATCAAAACTTGGCTTGAACTGCTGCTCTGCTACCCACATGGCACAAGATGAACAGTTCTGGAGAGCCTGCCCAGCCCTGGGGGCATTGGGCGTATATTCGAACTCATCCTCAAGGGCAAACTTGGAGATAACTAAAAACTAAAGACACAAAAATATGACAAGAAGTACAAAATTCTGTCTTCTACAAAACACACCACACCTCAGATACAATTATGGAGCTTGATAACAGATTTTCACACCACAAATGTATGGCTGTACCTCAGCCTTCAACACCAGCACTCCCTGCCCATTTTGCCGTTGTTTCCCACCGACATCCCCATCATTTGGGAACAAAACTCAAATAAGGTTCCTCTTCTCTAGCTGCCACAATGACATTTCTCTTTTTATGCTCATATTGAATTTAGTAAGACAACCTGTTCTTTAATGATAAATATGAATTGGAGGCTAAATTTTTAGTACTTACTGTTGCTTTTTAGAAAGAAAAACCATCAAAAGAAGCAAACAACATCAGCTGCTATGAGTTCAAGCCAACTTCTGCAGTGCTGAAGAGCAATTACAGACTCATAGATGACAGTGCTAGAGCAGAGATGTGACGGGGGACCCCGCGTGCTGTTTCTGTGCGTGCTCTGTGAGCGACCTGAGGCCAAGGGCCCAACTCGGGCTGTGAGGACAGCGAAGCCCAGAGGCGGGCGGCTCTCCGGCTACCCGGTTCTGTGGTTACGGCAGCAGGAGGGGCCGGCTGGCACTGGATCACCAGCAGGCATCAGTGATGCTGCTTCCAAACAGCAAGCATGGCCTTATTGAAAACATAACAGGCAATTGTGGAGGTCCTGGGGACATCTACATTATTAAATGCAATTCAAAACTACCAAAATCACTGAGGTGCAGCAGCAGTGATCCATGCACGGCGCTGCATGGACAGCACGTCCTCCACGAGGCCTCCCCAGCGGGGCGTCGCGGAGCGGCTCCACGCGACGTGCGCAGCCGTGCACACCACTGAGCCGCAGCGCTGCCCCTGGGCTCCCGCATGTTACCTTCAGCGTTGCAAGCAAGCAGGGCTACCAGGGACATTTAATGCGAATTCCTCGCATCTGGGACATTCTGGAGGAGAAACCAAAGCACAAGATGGCTTTTGTAACTGAACACAACCAAAGTGCTAAGGACCCCTATTTGTAGGGGACTCCATGAAGACATTGCCAGAGCTGCACTAAATTGAGGGATTGAACGCAGCGGCGGGGCCTACGGCAGCTCGTCCCACCGCGGGATCACTCCCCACCACGGCGGTGCCGTGGCCTAGAAGGGCTGTCACCTAGAAGGTGACACCCATCTCCTCATCAGCAGCAACAATCACCCCAAAACCAACAGCAACAAGCAACAAAGTGACCGAGAGCAGCACCTGGGCAGCACAAGAGAAGTCCAGAACACGCCTGGCCACGCAGGAGCGCTCCCTGGCAGGGCCGAGCCCGTGGTGGGGCCGACGCGGCGGGACGGCCCCGGGGACGCGGGGCTCAGGGATGGGGGGCGGCAGAGGGCCGCGCACCCAGGCGGCGCAGAACCCGCACACAGCCGCGCGCCAGCCGGGATCTGCCTCGCGGCAGCAGCAGGACATGGGCCATGCATCATGGCCCACGGCCTCAGCCTCTCTGAAACAGATGACTACAGGTGGCACAAGCCCAATGAGAAAAGAATTAATCGGTGCAGAGCAAAGCTCTCCAAGCTACTCATTAATTAATGCCTTCCCGGGCTGCCAGGGGAGGGAAGGTCTGAAGAAGTGGCAGCAGGGACACAAAACCTGGCAGCACCTAACGCCGCATTTGGAAAGCCTGCACATGGACTATCTTTCCATCTGATTCTTGCTTCTTGCTCTCCTCTTATTTTTCTATTTAAAAACAGATAGCTTTTAATTCACATCTTCAGGCTCTCTCTGGCCCTCTTCTCACCCTTTCCCTCCACATTCTGCCCTTCATTAGATGATATAATTCTTCTTAATATAACTAATCTGTTCCTTGTTCTCCTTGATGCTAAATCCCCTTTCCAGCTCCTGATGAGGCAACTTCCCACCATTCGCTGCTCCCTCAGCCTGCTCGTTTCTGGCTCTTGTTCCCCAAAAGGCAGCTGGGCTGCTCCGCATCCGACCTCCCGCCTGGGGGCTCTGTGTCCGGCTGCCTCTTCCCAGCCGCTTCCTCGAGGCCTTTCCGGGCGTCACGCAGCCCCTGCCCTACCCTACATCCAGCCCGAGCTACGTTAAAATAACAGGACATATGTACCATGCGTCACAGCTCCCTGCAATTAAAAACCACTTTGACCTTTTCCCGGAATTCACAATCCCACTAAAACGGTCTCCTTTTATGCGAGTTTCTATTTTGGAGCCTATTTATGTCATGCTGGTTACGGCACCAGTGAAGCTTGCGAGGAACAGCAGCGAGCGCCCAGGGACCGCGTGAGCTCGGGGGAACAAGCTGCTTTTCAAGTGCTCATACAAGCAGCCTCTCTTCTCCCCAGTGTTTCCACCTCATGCAGAATTATACCCTGCAGCCAAAAGAAAGCTCTAAAAACCTGTAGCAAAAACATATTCAGACAGAGAGGAGATCTTTTGAAACAGAAAAAATATATTTAGGCAGGGTTAAAAGTGCTATATTAAGAAAAAAGAGAGACAGACAGAATGAACTAAATGAAGCCAAATTAACAGCCTGGAAAATTTCTTCTTAGTTTCAATCAGCGGGAAATGGAAGAAAGATGATGAATTACAGAAGGCAGATTCTATTTAACGAGATTTATTTTTAGCCTAGAATAGACTCTTTTTTTTTTTTTTTTTTTAAGTTGGAATAAAATTTCTTGACGGACTTTGTGAAAATCACTGAGCTTCAAAAGGAGCACAGAGGCGCCTGGAAAGACTTTCACAGTGAGATAAAAGGAGGTACAAGCAGAGAAATTTCCTAACGACCAATTGCTTCAGGATTCCCAGGAACTGAAGGGGACTTCGAAACACCCTAAAAATGGGAGCTTGAAAAATATTCTAACATTAGACAGCCAGAAAATTGGCCCTACTACGGATGCAGGGATAGTACCACAGATGTTTTATTCCCTACCCTGTCATCTGCAATCTATTCAAAGAAAAAAGTGAAATAGGGGCTATTTTTCTCTACATAGGCTATATTTTTAAAGACGTATTTAGTAAAGCAAAGCCCTTTAATCAAACTTGGCTTCCCCAGAGGTACAAGGCTTACACAAAAACTGCTTCCAAATCCATTGGTGCAATCATTATGGACACGTTGCTACAGTTCAATATTTTTGGTGTACATCTTTGGGGTGCATCTTTAAGTTTACTGGCAACTCCTTGACATTTATATTCAAAGATCCATTTGATTTAAATACCAGGCTTACCTTTAAATGACCTTGCAAGTGATCTGATTGCTCTAAAGTGCTCTAAATACCAAATGACAGAAACGATGTTAAGGAAAATCCACTGCAAAATCAGTAGCATCACTATGGCATTTTGTACCAGCTTTACATTAACAGCTGACAAAGAAGAAGACACCTCTGTATCACGTGCAAGTCTTTGGCGCACCAGACCTCAAAGCCAATGGACACAAACCAATGGGAATATAACAAGGAAAACCTTCCCACTTGTGAATCTATGGGCAGTTTCTGAAGAAAAGAGCAGGTTCTGCAACATCTGACCTTTCGTTTAAGCTCCGTTTTCAGCACTTGCTCCTGCGCAGAAAAGCACAGGGCCTCGGGATGCTCCCAGCCTTCCCAAGTAGCAGTAGGACAGTTCCAGTCCCCGCTGCTGTCACCTGCCTTGGGCAGTGATCGTCACAGGGTTCAAGACAAAAGTGCATGGGAGAAGCGACACCACTTAAAACACGTGGAAGGCAGGGTTTAGGGCACACAATCTCACTGTGCACTTAGGGCAGCTTTACTCCTCTTAGAGGAGCGGTGTCTTGCTGGCGGTCGCGTCAGCAGAAGCAAAGGCAGGAGATAGCAGGAGATGCGGCCCATCCCAAGGCCAGTGGGGGACAGGAAGGGGAGGTGTCAGCCTTTCCCTTCACATGAGGGCCTGGAGAGCCTTGCAAGGCCGAGCAGGCAGTCAAGGAGGAGAGGTCAAGGTTGGACTAGATGATCTGTAGAGGTCCCTTCCAACCTTAAATATTCTGTGAATCTGTGCTGGCCAGAAGGCAGCTCCATGGGGACGGAGGCCAGGCTGCCCGGGCTGGGCCTGCAGAGGGCCAGCCCCACGGCCAGGGGCTCCGCGCTGCTCTGTGGGACACGCTGCTCCATGCAGCTCCGTGCTGCTGCACAGCTCCGCACTGCCCACATGCAGCTCCGCGCTGCTGCACAGCTCCGCGGTGCCCACATGCAGCTCCGCGCTGCTCCATGCGGCTCCGCACTGCCCACATGCAGCTCTGCACTGCTGCACAGCTCCGCGGTGCCCACATGCAGCTCCGCGCTGCTCCATGCGGCTCCGCACTGCCCACATGCAGCTCTGCACTGCTGCACGGCTCCGCACTGCCCACATGCAGCCATGCAGCTCCGCACTGCTGCACGGCTCC